TGTCAGTACTTCCAACATTTTGAATATTTCATTAGTTGTTTCACTAGCATACTAGACTATAAGTCTATAACTAACAACATGCTTTTCAGGCTAATGACCTTGTTGTTGAAACCTTATTATCAATAAAAAAAAAAAACATACATTTATTTGACTTAAGGTTTTGTTCTATCGGATGCCGGTTTTGACGTTTGGCTGTTCAACGCCAGAGCTGTTGGACTTTCGAGAAAACTCAGTATTTATAAGAAACCTGGATCGTCGCCAAAAATGAATAGCATTTCATGGGATTTCAGGTATCTATTATTGAAATTTTACAAGGAATATTATATTATATAATTATTTAAATATTACATTTTGTTGAAGTTGATAATTAATAAAAACAATTCAAAATAACCAAGGWACAYATTATAATTGAGCAGGAAACAAACTTTATAATTTTGTAAAATACATACGTTTTACAATTTACATTTTTAATCTATTTCTTCACGTACGAGTATTTAGATWTAAAATTACGTAGTTGTTATGATTTTAAATTCTGATTGTTCCTAGTAATTATAACGTATAATTGGCTTCACAACGTGTGTGTGTTTTTATGTCATACGTCACCTTCAAATGGAATAAAAATACATAGATCTTAACATTCTTAACCCTTTCGCTACCATTGTCGTTGCAATGGACATGACTTTTTTTTTTTGAAGAGCCCTGTGCCTCTGTAGTACAAGTGCATATAGGTACTATCCAACTGGACAGTTGTAGGCCAGTGTGGCAGTTCATCCTTGTGCCTGAATCACTTTAAGACTTATGTACCAACTAAATCCAAATTTTTGCCTGAAAACAACCTTAACGTTTAATAAGCACCCAGGTGGCGTAAAGGGATACCAAATTTTAAATCTTTACTATCCTCAACTATAATTTTTGAATTTGATAATWGAATACTATACAGCAAGATTATAACTGGGAGCCCAGGGGATCCAGTCCTCTCCCCACGAAGCTCTTATTAAGTCAAACAAAGTTTTTACATTTTGAAAGTGCAAATGATAAGCGGTCAGTATGGCAGTATCCATATAAAGAATTTGTTTTGAAGCTTTCAATTACAAATTGATTTTTTTTTCTAAGTAGGTATACCAGGAATTTTAATAATAAAAATMATAATATATATTTTAATTAAATAATAGGGATTTTGATCTTTTAGAGTTTTTATCGAAGAAAATTATATTAAGACAACTTGTTTTCACATTGTAGTTTATAACAACCGGTTATACATTTATAATATATAAAATAATTTACGTCATAAAATATCCATAAAAAAATTCAGAAATATCTGAAAAAAATAACGGAAATAATATCCATGAGTTAAAATGTCAAAATTAAAGATTAAAAATATATGTTATTTTAGAACATTTTTCTACAAAAAATAAACCAATTTGAATTACAACAACAATCTTTTATAAGAAAATGTAATAAGGGTTTTACTAACTTTTTGCAGGTTAATATAATTTGTATAAAAGTTTTTTCTGCTGAAAAATCATTTAAAGTCAGTTTGCATCATGTCTGTAMTGTTTGAACAATTGGAGACGTTGATGGAACATTATYATAATTTAATAATTAAGAAAATATTATAACTATTATATATTTATTTTTGTGAGCTTGTTTCCGGTAACCTTTACTGAAAAGTACAGAATAGTTTAAATCAATCAAAAATAAAAATTTTGGCCGAAACCCTAATTAATAATAATTATGTATGTAAATTGTATGATAAGCAAAAAAAAGATTGAATGTCTTAATTTCCAAGATGTAATTACTATAATTACTATAATTATAGGTAGAAGATTGTGTACAAATTTAAATGTGAAATAATTTTGTCGTGTGTATAAAAAATAAGAGCTTTTATTGCATCGTATACTAAAATCAATGCAGTCTTTAATATATTATGTTTTGTTATATTGTTTTAGTTTTCATGAAATGGGTGTATACGATATGACTACTACTATAGATTTCATACTAAAAAATACTGGCTATTCTAAATTGGATGTGGTGGGCTACTCTCTTGGTACAACAATATCTCTTGTATGTCTAACCGATAGACCAGAATACAATTCTAAAATCAACAAACTTGTACTAATGGCTCCAACGTCCAGGCTTAAATCATCAGGCATGCCACTAAAGATGTTGAGACAATATTCCAGTTTCTTAAAAGTGAGTACCTAATTCTATTTTGCTAGTACAATATTGTTCCACATTTTTGTTTCTGTGGATTCCATGCACAGAGGTAGCGTGTGAGTATATAATTAATTTCATGTATTCAAAATTAACTTAAAAAAATTAATTAATACGTTTTAGATTTTCCTAGATGGCGTTAATTTCTTTCCAATTACTCATGATCCAGACACCACGTATAAATTAATTAGGCGTTTGTGTACGATTAAAATCGCCTTTMAATATTGCAGACAATTTATTGATTTCTCTCAAGGAATCAATTTACCGATYGACAATGTAAGCAATACCTACGAAGATGAGTAAAGTATATGTAATATATTTAGAGTTCCGTCATTCGATGAAGCAATARTACATAAATAGCAATACAAAATGTTTGAGGTTATAAGCATATAACTTAACGTTTTTTACAAAATTAGTTAAATCTATACTTATCTCATATTGGTTMATAAAGATTTTCAAAAAATACTCTGCTGTGCTTCATRATATAAAATATATTATAGTATGACTTGCCAGTTTAAAATTGTGAAGATATTCACTGAATTTATATTTAATTGTTATAAAACTGTATTAATTACCTACCTAATGTTTAAAAAAMAACCTCTTACCTAGAAACTATGTTCTTAATATTTATGTAGTGTGTATAAATATTGTAATAAAAATATTTTAAGATTTCCTTAATTTTAAAAATAGTTTTAAGATTATTTGAAATAACTGTAATTACCTAATAATGTTTTGTACATGTTATAGAACACAATTTTAGACATTGTCTCGGAATTTCCACAGCCWATGTCTTCTAAAACCTTGAAACACATGTTGCAACTATTGACATCCGGTAAGTAAGAAGTAAGAACTACAATATCATTAGACAATTTGATTTCACTCGCGACCTAAAATATATTATATAATTAATACAATACGGTCTATTACCATATGGTACGAGTTATAACATAATTATAAATATGTCTCATATCAGTATTAGTATAGGTATATGACTAGCATAATATTATTGAATTATAATGTAATATATATATATATATTATATATATTATAATATTATTGGTATTGAACACTTCGATTTATAAAAAGTCTTTATGATGTTTTAGAGCCCTGTTTGTTATATTCTTTATTCTATATTAGCTGTAAAGAAAATAATTTCTTTTTAGTATACTAGATCATCTTGTTGTGTAGTGAATGTCCATATTAACTATTTCTCAAACTATGTCGGTCTAAAATCACGCGATATGTAGAATAAATATTAAATTGGAATCAATTTTGATGATGAAATACTTACACAAAATTAAAAATATACACGTGATCTTTAGCTTTAATTAAATTATTATATTTACCATTCAGGAAAATTTTCCCATTATGACTATGGACCGTCTGGGAACTTGTTTCACTACCACACAAAAACGGCACCGGATTACGATCTGTCCAGAATTACTGCCCCCACATACGTTATATATTCCAAAGAGGATTCATTAGTTCGTCCAGTGGTAATTATCATGATTGGATAACTATTTTAAAGTTTAAGATCAAAATTTGTTATAATATATAACTGCCAGATTTTGTACGTTAATTATTTTGTTAATTGTATATGATGGCGTTATTGTGTTTGCCTAATAATTTTAGTTTTTGACTGTTCTTTAAAAATGTTGTTTCCAAAATTTTTCAACTATAGGATTGATTTTGACTAACTGTAATTTAAATTTTTTCCGATTTATTTACAAATCTTAATAATGGTTTTTGCTTTTTAAGGAATTTAATATCGATATCGCTATAATTAATCATTTTAAACCAGTGTTTGAAATCAATATTGAAACAAATTTTAAAATCATGTTCTATATTTAATGAAGGATTAAAAAAAAAGTAGGATTCTGAGAAATTACTATTACCTATTTGAAATATCTTGAATATTTTTAAAAACTCAAGATAAATAAAAAAATATTCTTTAAATAATTTTACGAATAATTACTTAAAATCTATTTTTTAATCACTACTACTTACTTAACGAGCAACACACGGAAATTAAATGATTACATTTTGAAATATACATATGTACCTAATACATAGAAATTAAAATCATAAAATATTTAAATAGTTATTATAATCATTCAATGTTCATATTAATCATATTTTTAGGATGTTGAATGGCTCATAACACAGTTACCAAATATTAAGGATGTACACTACATTGACAAAATACCATTTGGTCATTTCAGTTTTTCATTAAGTCCAATTATGAAGGAAGTCGTAAATATGTATATAACAAATAAATTATTAGATAGCTAATATTATAATTGTTATTAGAAAAAATCAAATGATTTAAGATGTATAATATAAACTTACGGTMAGGAATGTGCATATATATACTTATCTATACCTACCTAACAWTTTTTTAGATTTGTATAAAATTGCAAATTTACTATTTGCATTGATTGATGTTGTAAATAAATGTCTATTTTAATTGTAAATATTTAATTCTAACATAACTATAATTTGCATAAAATAAATGCTGTTTTAATTTTTAATAAGTCATACTTACACCTTTATTATTGTTGTAAATGATATTATTATTACATCGTTAAAAAATAACATTATGGTAAACTTAACAATTATTTGGCATTGATGATTYTACTTGTTTGAATGAGCAATGGCTATAATTAATTATTATGGCTATGTATATTTATCATTAATTATATTAAACATAAATTGATGTTTTTTTTTATAAATATCTATTTTAAATCAACAATTTCAGAATTTAATATATATATTAAACTCACACATTGTTTAGATTTTTAAATATTAAAATAAAATATATAAACATGTTTGTAGTCGTTAAAATGATTCTTTAACACTAACCTATAAATGTAAAATCTTAGAGAGCTTTTTTCTATAATTTTAAAATTCTTATTATCCTAACAATTAATCATAATAGTAAATTGACTTGTGCTTTTAGAGTTAATGTGAAATTGAATATCAATTTTTCAGTTTTCTCACTGATTATATAAATTCTAAAAACTAGCAAATAATTTACAAAATCTGTATGACAATTAAAATTACGTAGATTTGTAGTTAATAAATATTTTTGATATCAAGATATTGACATTTAACAAATGTTGTTTTTTATTGGGTACTTCCTAGATCCTAATATTAATACTATTTTCCTTAATATAAACAATGTAATAACTGATTAAATTTTAAATTAGATACATCAACAGTTTTAAAAAATATATCCACTAAATAACTAACAGCAAAAAATCGGGATTCTAATTTGTAAAATAGAAATTGATATCGCCATAGAACATTCTTCAAGTAGTGCAAACTACAATAATAATCTCAAACATTTGAAAATGTAGTCTTTAAGAATRTATACTTAAAAATTCTGAAGATCATAATTTGGATTAATTCACTATTAAATGAAAATAATGGGATGAGAATGATTGATGAATCATTCTATTTATAGTTTAAAATACATAATTTTATATCATATTTAAATATAACGTGTTTATACTATTACTCCCTAACACAGTAACACAACAAATCTGATAGTTATACGCCACGAACCATGGCAATAAAAACAACAATTAATAAATGCACCTACTTTTAAYATGATACTATATAAAAWATACATTCTCGKTGACCATTAATAACCGATAGACTACGGCATTTCAATCTTCACACCGATAAACTCAATTAACGTTCTTGCCCTTGAACATTGATGAGTTCCTATAAAAAAATTAATKATTTCCGATTTATACCTAAATATTTTCAATATAATATTGTCTGGATTGTCTTAGAGCACATGCACGTTGTATATAAATACTATATTCGGATGTACATTGTCTACTCTGTATATAATATATCAAGTATTAAACATGTTCTTCTCATATATAAGTACATAACATCAACATTTGCGTAGATTCATTTTTTTCTTCTCATTTAATACTTATCCAAATAATAATAATAATAATAACTATGCTTCATTTATTTAATATATTGTGTAAATCTTTGTTAATAATTACTACGCTAATTGGTCACATAAAATGCAATGCGCCGTTAAATACCGTAAGTATTACGCCTATACGTTCATACATATAATACGTACCTACCGAATTTCGCATATATTACRCCTACCCGGCGTAAGAATTATGAATTTATTCGTTTTTGTTGAAATCTCATTTTCKTGTACAAAACGCGTGTGCGACGTAATTTCCTTTTAACCGACGAATATAATATTATTAGGAAGAATCGATCATCCAATTGGGCTATCCACTGGAAAAGTACAAGCTCCAAACTCAGGATAAGTTTACACTAGGATTGGAACGGATACCTTATAGCAAAACCGGTGACCGGACCATTGGAAAGCCTATCTTGTTGATGCACGGTTTGTTCCTGAGTTCCTACATATTCTCGAATACGAATAAATCGTTGAGTAAGTCATATTAATGTATACTATACAAATATATAGTGTGTGGCCCGATATTTTACGGTGATACGATACATAATATTTGTAAAATGTTGTTGAATATTTTATAACTAGTGTACTATTAAATTGTACCTACTATTTTGATAATAAATAAAAAAATTAATATAATACAATATAAATCGAAAATTCACGAAATCCTACCCGCCGAAAATACATATATAACTAAGTAGTACTGCTTATAAAAATTTTTCATTTTAATGGAAAACCGATAAAGCYGTTCAAATTTAAAAGTGTTTGACGTTTATTAATAGATAAAATATTAAATAATATTCTAAATCTCGTCGTTTTTAATAATCATAATATCTTTGGCCTATGTTTATTGTGCATTTGTGCCTAGTACCTACCACTTTTTCAATTTTCAGAGAAATTTAATGATTTTAACTTAAAACATGATAAATTAAACATTAAAAAAGCATAWCATTTTAATTTTTTAATTTATCAAATTTCTCAGATGAAAGTTGAACCATTTCCTAAAAAACTACAAAGTACCTACATTATATAGTACATTATTTTTGTGAGTGTGTTAGATTATTTCCCATCAACATTGGTCTCTTAGAAATCATGGAAAATTAAAATGTCACAAACCTGTTAAAAAGTGTACCATTCATACTATCGTGATTTGCACTAACTATACTTCATTTAAAAAAATCAATTTGTCAATATTTATAAATATTATATTATTATAATTTAATGGTGTTAAAATTGTTACACTGCTGTACATATTTAATGTTATTAAAATATTATGATGAGTTCCAGAAAAGCAGAAATATTATGTGGATATAGCCTGCAATCATTAGTAACTTACGCTAATTACCATTTTTTAAATAGTATTTTGTGATCAGTGGGTCGCCTATTTATTATAGGCAGCYAAAATATATGCGTGATCATTCTTTCGAATAACACTATACCTACATACATGTTTCAAGTATTGTAATTATAAATAATTCCAATACCGACACTTATAAAACGTATTCTAATAACTTTAAACTTAATAATTATATAATACTTGCTGTACGTAAATAATGTTTTTACGAAATGCAATCAAACACAGGTTATTCACTATCTAACGCTGGATACGACGTATGGTTGTTCAATGCCAGAGGAACGGGCTTGTCCAGAACATACAGTATTTACTCGAAAGCGGGAACGGCACCAAGAATGAATAAGATGTCATGGGACTTTAGGTATATTATGATGATCTTAATATGATTGCTTATAAATTTGTAAAATCTGGAATCTGGAATTTGTCATCAATAAATTATACAYAGGTTTTTCAGATATTGATAAATTATGTAGATTAAATTATTTTATAAATTATATTTTTATTTTATATTCTTACCTATCTGAATGAAATATTAGAAGTTAGTAAGTTAGTASTTATTATTTGACCAGTTTTATTAGAAAAAACATGTGTCAACATTTTAAGATAATATTTAATTTTTTTAATTGATATATATTTTTAAATGGTTCCTTACGTACGCACTATACTTTGAAAATCAAAGCTTTAATCACATAATTTCAAAGTCAAATAKCACCAATATTAACTATCAATTTTTAAATTCATGAAAACGCGTTTATAGTGTTGTGAATTCATTAAAYTAATGTTCGACAAACAATTTTACATCCGATATTTTTTTTTATCCATACATTTTTTAAAAGTCAAGCGTTTGCACTCAATACAATGTTTTGATGACTMWGTCGTACTATAATTTCACAGGCGATAGTTACTTTAATTTTAAAGTAAAATAGAAATGATGGGCAATCATTTCAATATAAACTCTTATCTTGACGGAGGTACTTCACTTAACTACCGCTTACTTTGGATTTTTTCTATATATTATATTTCTAGTTTCCACGAGATGGGCGTTTACGACTTCCCGGCCGTCGTCGACTTTGTCCTAAACAAAACAGGACGTGCAAAATTAGACATCGTAGGCTACTCGTTGGGCGCAACCATTGCACTTGTCGGGCTATCGGAAAAGCCCTCGTACAACAGTAAAATCGACAAATTAGTATTGATGGCGCCGACGACCAGAATGATATCGTACGGATTTCCTGTCTCTGCATTTTATCGTGGTTCCATGTTGTTTAAAGTAACTAAAAATATGATAAAACAAAATAATTATCTAAACAATTTTAATGTACCTAAATCATCTATCCGTATCCTCGATGATTAATTTTTAAATTATTCTACATGGAAATATAGTATAGGTATCTAATAATAGCATCAAAATAGACAAATTATAATTATAATTGTACAATCTATATTATATTCCAGACAAGCATGTCGACAACCAGAAAAAATAACCTCTATAGGATTTAGAGGGGGAGTTCAAACTTACGAAATCGCCGACGGTTATGTCTTGGTTCGATGACTTACTTGCGGAAAGTAGTAGGATCAAAATAAATCGGATTGGCATTGAATTAAAATTAAATATTACTTTTATTATTTTTCTGATTAACGGGAGACTAAATAATTGTAATAAATTAGTTTTTAATATCAGACTTCATTACTCAGTTGGCCGCGTATTAAAAATGTAAATACCATAAAATTGAATCCAACATACATATTAACTCGTTAGCCGTCATAAAATTAGATTTACCAACATATTTTTAATTAGGTATCTAAATAAACTATTATCGAATGTGTGACAATAACACGCAAATCACATGATAACTGCAGTATAACAAATTTCACTCCTTAATAATTAGTAACTTCCAACTCGAGAGTCGAGAGTAGGTACCTAGATT